GGATGAATGGAATTAGCAATTGATACACAATTACATAACAATTGTTATTACATGTTTATGTAAATGTTTCCTTGCATATTATTAGAAATATCGCATTTCGCTTAAATATTTATTAATTGCTAATGAGCCAAGGGCTTGTGTAATTAAAAATTATTTAAGCACATTGTGGTCAATGAAATAAAATATTTGCGAGCAATACTTTTCTTTTCTCCGCGAATATTATGGTACTTTTACGAAACGAGTATAAAAGTCAATTATCAATTCAACATAACACTCAACAGTTAATATTATTATTATTTTATATTCAGATTCCTCTAATATATAAATTGTTATCTCTGTGGGTATATCCGGTTACTGGTTTTCTCGTCCTTCTTCCTGACAAAAAAAAAGGTTTCTTCTTGAAAGCTTTTTATATCGAGGAAAAAATAGAAAAAGAAAAAGAGAAAACGAAAGTAGGTCCTCCGAATTTCTCGGCTTAAATGCTACCGTTGCTTATTATCATCTAGTGTGCAGTACCGTTATTATTATCATGCGTAGCGATAACTACATATTTTATGTCGCTTTGTAAGACCCGCGTGTATCTTTCGGGATAAATGTCAAACGCGTGAGAGAGTTTTGCGGCAAACTACGTTTGGATAAGAGAGATATTATCATTGAGTCATGTTTTGTCACGCAACGTGCGCGCGTTAAAAACAAAGTGTAGCAGCACAATTTTTTGCCCATTCTCATTCATGGATTACGTATTCTAGGACGTAAATGACGTAAAACAATCGTGTGCCTCTGACCCACAGAAGGAAATATTAAAACAGCTTATTATGCCTTATCGCATAACAGGATATCATAAGATAGACCTGCCAACGTATCTCTTGTTTTTCTTATCCTTTTCTCTATTGTTTCATTCAGAATACATTGATTTAAAGATCTAAAAAAGAGTTTAAAGATCTAAAAAAAATTCCTCTTGACTATATTTTAGTTAAATTTTAGATATTTTAACAAAACGTGTGATTTTTATAATTTTAAGATTAAAATACTTTCCACGTGAGAAAAAATTTAAAGATATAAAAAAAAATTCCTCTTGACTATATTTTAGTTAAATTTTAGATATTTTAACAAAACGTGTGGTTTTTATAATTTTTAAGATTAAAATACTTTTTACATGAGAATGAATGTAAAATATGTGAAATGTAAATGAGAATGAGAAAAAAATACTCAAATATCAACTTGTTTAAGAAATCAATTTTGATGGACATTTACTATTAATATATTGATTAATATATCGTGTCTCTTTCTCTCTCTATATAACACGAATATAAAAAATTCAATTATTCCTAAATTTAATATTCATCAAAATTGATGATGCAATTCTTTCTCGTTTTCTCTCTCTCTCTCCGTTGTATCTAAAATAAATCAATTCCGGATTAGAAGAAAATAATCTTTCATAAATTATATTTGTCTATCCAGAATAAAGACACAGAAAACCGGCAAAACATTTCAATCATAATTGGCGCTAATCGACTGGATGCAAACGGAGCAAAGTGCTTGGAGAATCCCACGCTCCCGCAGCCTCAGTAGTCAGTCGCCATGGTAACAACCATGCCAAGAGTCACGCCGCCGTCGCGCTGAAGCGAACGACGGTACCCGAGATCCGCCGAAGTTTGCCGAACGCTGCCCGAGAGGAGAGACCGAGAGCCACCGAGCGAGCACCGAGCGTCGACGGGATAGAGCGGGAGCGCGTCGACGGGATTACCTCACGTGAGAGGAGAAACAAGGACGGACCTATAGCGTAAGGAGGGTGAGCAGGAGAGTAGTCGGTATTGTGTAGGTGGGGACAGAGTCTCCCTGCCGCGCCGCAGAAGCAACACGGACGGACAGTTCTTGGTCCCCGACCGGCCTGTGTAAGCCAGAAGACGGGAGAGAGAGAGAATCGCGTAGCGTGCGAGCGAGACGGGATAAGAGTCAGAGGGGGAGAGCTAGAGAGGGTGAAATAGAGAGAGTGAGAGTGAGACAGGGAAAAGGGAGCAGCTCGTGGAACGGCCGTGTCCTCGCGTGCTTGTGTCGCGTCTCGAGCGCAGCCATTACGGCAGAACCGCTCGGTGACGCTTGTAACGTCGTGTGTAGTAACGCGGATGCGACGGTAGCGTGGTCCGTTGTTGTTGCGTGCGTGAACGTCGCCGGCGTCACGTAGTATACGGGCGTGTATCAGAGCGCACGTGTGCGAGTCCGAGCGAATTAACGCTGCCGCCGCCACCGCTGCCGCTACCGAAGGGGTTGGCGAGTGTGAAACGAGGAAGCGCGGAAGCTGCCGAGCACGCACGAGGCTTGTCGCTTCGCGTGGAAGCTTCACGAAGGACCGTACAAAACGAATTCGGTTTGTGACCGGACCGCTGGAGTGATCGGACGAGAGGACGGTTACGGGTGCGCGCGCGCGTCCGTGTGTGTGTGTGTGTGTACGCGTGGATTAAGGAAAATCTAAGGAATTGAGATAAGGAAGAAGGAGAGTAACAACAGCCGCCACCATGTTTGACGTGTTCGGTTCCGTGAAGGGGCTGCTGAAGCTCGACTCGGTGTGCATCGATAACAATGTGTTCCGGTTGCATTACAAGGCCACCGTGATCGGGCTCATCATCTTCTCCCTGCTGGTGACATCCCGGCAATATATCGGCGACCCGATCGACTGTATCGTGGACGAGATACCGCTCCACGTGATGGACACCTACTGCTGGATCTACTCGACCTTCACGATCCCGGATCGAACCGGCATCGTCGGCAAGGACCTGGTGCAACCGGGGGTCGCCGCGCACGTCGAGGGCGAGGATGAGGTAAAATATCACAAGTATTACCAGTGGGTCTGCTTCACCCTCTTCTTCCAAGCGATCCTCTTCTACATACCGCGCTACCTGTGGAAGACATGGGAAGGCGGTAGGATCAAGATGCTGGTGCTGGATCTCAATTGTCCGGTAGTTAGCGAGGACTGTAAAAGCGACCGGCGTAAACTGTTGGTCGATTACTTTACCTCGAACCTACACTCGCAGAACTTCTACGCGTATCGCTTCTTCCTGTGCGAGCTGCTGAATTTCGTCAACGTCGTCGGCCAGATCTTCTTCATAGATTTCTTCCTGGACGGCGAGTTCACCACTTACGGCTCCGAGGTCCTCAGATTCACCGAGATGGAGCCGGAGGAGCGTATGGATCCCATGTCACGGGTGTTCCCGAAGGTGACCAAGTGCACATTCCACAAATATGGTGCGTCCGGCACGGTGCAGAAGTTCGACGGTCTTTGCGTGCTGCCGCTCAACATCGTCAACGAGAAGATCTACGTATTCCTCTGGTTCTGGTTCATCATCCTATCGGTCCTGAGCGGCCTCAGTCTTCTCTATCGCGCGGCGGTGGTACTCGGCCCGAAGCTCCGGATGGTGCTGTTGCGAGCTCGCTCGCGTCTGTCACCTCAGGATCAGATCAAAACCATCAGCGACAAATGCCAGATAGGCGACTGGTTCGTTCTCTATCAGCTCGGCAAGAACATCGATCCTCTGATCTACAAGCAGCTCATCGCCGACCTCGCGACCAAGCTCCAGGGGAAGGAGAACGTGTAACTCGCCCAACAAATCGATCCTGAAAGGACCTCTTCGAGGTCCGGAGAAGTCCTCCGGAGGAGGATTCCTCGTCTCCTCTCCCAGAGCGATGCCTCCTGCTCGACAGTGAGAGGAAGCGAACGGTAGGACCGTCTCCAGATTAGAGACAAGAAAGAGAGCCATACCGATTATCGCGGATACAAGTACTAAGAAGACGAGGATTGGAGGAATTAGCGTCTTAGGCCGAATTGCACCGGCGGAGTTTGCTCCAACGTAGTTTGGAGATTAATTTTCTATTTCTTTCTGTAGTATATTTTATATATAATATAGATAAAGAAAGAAGAGGGGGAGAGGGAAGATCTCGAGCTAATCTCGGACACTAGTTTTACTTTAATTGATTTTTAGATTTTCGAACTAGCAAAGATCATCCAGGATATCCTTGAATCAGTTCGATCGACGTTCATTATCGGATTAATAATTTATGTAGGCTCTTTTAGAATTCATATGTCGGTAAAGAAGTGAGGATTTAGTCAATCAAGGTTAATTGCTTAACAAAAATTGGGATTAATAAAAAAAAAGTTATATTATTTTCTTAATATCGTAGGTAAATAATTAATAATTAGTTTTATTATTAACGTAAAGTTTAAGTCGCTTTCTTTCTTTTTTTTTCTTTTTTTCCTTCCTTCCTGACACACGACGGCATTCTCGGATGCGGTCCAGCCCGTATAAATACATAAATCCTCCAGGATGCTGACGCAGGTGGAGAAGAAGGGGGTCGTACAAGCGGATTCGGAGCGGAAAGCAATACGCGGAAATCCCGGAAAACTCCGCGGAAATCCCGGGTTGCGTCACGCGCGCCACCGGGTCGTCGCTTTTATCGTCGTCGTCGTCGCGCCTCTATTACCGCGTCGGTTAAATTAAATTTTAAGTCCTTTTTTTTTTTTTTTTTTTTTTTTTTTTTTTTTTTTTTTGCCCACGTTTTCAATTCTGAGAGACAAAGAAGAAAAATTTAATATTTACGTCAGTGCAATTCGGTCTCGGTTAGTTAGTTTTTTTTTTCTTCTTTTCTCTTAGACCAAGATTTTTTTATATCTCGCCGTTCCTCTCTTGCGCGAGAGTACAAGCTTCCATTCCAGGTAGGTTTACGGTCAAGACAAAGCGTGCTGTTCGCCGCCCGTCCTCCTCACCTCTCCTCCTCGTCTTCGCGTCGAACTCTCCTCGTCTTTGGATCCTTTCACAATCGCGCGGAGAGTTTCCCATCGATTTTACATCCGCCTATTCCACTTGTTTCTATGTTTGTCCATTTCCTTTATTTTATTTCACTCTTAGATTTTCTCGAGCAAGGTTTTGACTCCAATATCGAGCTCTTATCGTCTAATGCTTATTGATTTAATTTTCATATATCGTATTTTTTTTTTTTTTTTGCGATATGCGTGGTAATAACGAAGGTCGGAGATTTTGAATTCTTATAATAGATATTTAATTTTTTTTTTTCGCGATCGAAGCTTTTTTTCTCGAGAAAATGCGAATCGATGCAAAAAATAGAAATTATTTTACTTTACTTTTATAAATTTCAAATGTCCGACCAATGCACTTGTAGAACGCATACATTTTTTTTTTGCGTATATGCTTACAAGGCAGGTTGAATGATCATTTTTGCCATGACGTATAAATTATTTAAACAATCGCGCGGTTCGGCTGGTTTTTTCAGCGGTTTAATTTATATTTTTATATAACATAATTATAACAAGTAATCAAAATTAATTGAGAGCTTAAGAAATTATTCCATTATTCGTTTATTCTTCCTTGGTCAAATTAATAACCAAGTAAAAAAAAAAAAAAAAAAATTTTAACAGAACCAGTTTGTTGCTCTGCGCGAGTTTTTATTCACACGTGTTCTTTGCGGCAAAGTGTACATAACATTGCAATAAAGTTTGCGGATAAAGCCCCTCGTAACACGAACGTCCTATGGTCATGTATGCGCACGCGGAGAATAAAAATCCCGGTCTTCCGCGAAGCGCTTCACCGGCTTGTGCGCGTGTTCATTCGTTCCTCGCTTGCATTCCTACGAGTCTCGAAGCGAACGTCTTGTTCGTGATGGAACAACCTGCCTTGTAAGAATAATACGTGCCAAACGAGAAAATCTAGGAGATAGAAGACTTTCATTGTCCCTTTTCTTGAAACATTTTTGGCCTTTATACCGCGTCGAAACTAGACAAAAGCTGTCTTTTGACAAAAACGAGAAGAAAGAGAGAGAGAGAGAGAGTGAGAGAGAGAAGCATCTGTGAAAGAGCTTAAAAGAGCGCGAGGTCCTCCCGGCACTCTCGGAAACCTTCGTTCGTTAGACTTGGATCGTGTGATAAAGCGGGGGACGACGCGTTATCTCTTATTAGCTCTATTCTCTCGCTTCATTTTCTTTACTGCTTTTTTTTTTCCTGTCGAAAACTCGGTGTACATCTCGAGCTCGTCAGAGAGAGATAAGATTGTCCAACGATAAATATCTAATACTTTAATACGGGATCGGATGTATCTGACAGAGAGATTCTTATTTGTGTCTGCGAAGAGTTCGCGTACTTATCGTAAAAGATTTTCAGCATCCTTTACACGAACTCTCGTTTTTATATCTCTCTCTCACGATTTATAACTATATATTCTTTCGATCGCTCTTTCATGTAAGAGAATCGCACGCGCCGCCCCCCGCAAACCCAAACTTGTGGTTTCTTTACGCTACTACTGATTACTTTGATCTTTCTTATATTTTAAAAGTGTAGGAATACATATGTATATTGTAGGTATAGTAGAGAGAAAAAAAAATTCATTTGTACATGTATATGAGCATAGAGAGAACAAGAGAATGAGAAAGAGAAGGGAGGAGGGAGTAAGAGGAGGAGAATCGTGCGTATGTGTGTGTGTGTGTGTAAGTGTAGATATTAACGCGCGTCCGTCTTCCTCGTATTTCATCATTCCACGCCCTGAAAGACATACGCACAATTTTATTAAACTATGTCGTAACTAGATTACAATTGTTGCGCTGTATCTTGCGTCTTCTTTCTTTCTATTTTTATAATATAAAATTAATGTATATCGAAAAGACCAAGTTATAACGTTACATAAGAGATATGCGATTTCTTCGTCAATTCTCTTTTATGATACAAATTTATGATGTAAAAGTGATATGTATGGAGGGACCAAGCTGGAATGCTTTATACAAGCATTCCTCAAATCTATCATTTTTCGCCTTTTTTTTTTATAAGACTGGGATACCACGTGAGAATCGGCGATTATAGTAATATTGTAATATCGCGGCGACGCTTTAACATCATGCTGTCACGCAGATATCTCTAGACGTAAAAAAAAAAAAAAATATATTCACATTATTATATCTGAACAATTTACGGATGTGATTTCACGAATGATAAGATTAAATTGTCATTGGTCTATTCGTCCATCGACATAAAGTTTGACGTGATAGTTTAGATACTTCGTACAGAGATAAATAACGAGGAGCGCTATTTTTTACTGTTCGTATATTTTATACATAGCTTTTAGGCGCAATGTATTCGGTACTGTTTTAATATCCCGTTGACATGTATGCGTATGCGTGTGTGTCGCATGGAATACCTAATATCGTATTCCGATTCGAGTACGTTGACTCGCTTGTATTATTCGAAGATAGAAGCCGAAACAGCTTTTATGATACCGTTGCCGGCGATACTTTTCGTAAGGAACCGCACGTGGGAGAAGTTGACAGTCCGCTGATTGCGCGCTAAAAGCGATCGTCAAAATTTTATCAAGATAAGCAATATCGAGATAACATGATTATAAAGGGCTTATAACGTTTACGATGTGGTACTAGTGTTCAAATTGTGCGATACTAAAAGCTCGTGATATATTTACTGTAGAAAACCGATACGATCGGCCTAATACAATTCGTGTCTTCTTATCTTAATCTTGTATAGACACAATTGTATACGAAAAATGACATCACAATTCCTCGTATCTTTTTATCAGAGAGTATAATAAAAGTTTAATAAAGATTTATAATGAAAAGACAATAAATTTACAAATATACAATTAAAAAAAAAGATTCCGGAAATTTTTTTAGGAACCGTCAATCTGATATTAGCGTGTCAGCGTAAATTTCACGGTACGTAATGCAAATATTCCGATATCTCGTGGCATTGTAACGCACGGCCTCAGTCCCGGTTCGAACGCGGTAAACGCCTGCCTTTCGCGGTAAACATGTGTGAAGCATACGAATGGATAGTTGTAGCGCTACGGAATTTTATTAAAGAGAGGAAGGGAGAGAAAAAAACGAGCGACACACGCGGTTTATATATATATATATTATTCGCTTCTTCGCCATCTAAAACATTCCCTCTTTGAGAGATATCTATGCTCAAAGTAAGACTGCCAGATAATCGAAACACTTTTACTCGTCGCCGTGATTTTATATCACTTTTAGATGTATACGCGAGATGTCGAATTATTATTACGAACACAAAGCCGTTATCCGCTATTATATATCGCTTTGCTTTGCTCGTTTTGTTAATTTTTCGATTGAAGAACGTTAGAATCTTTTGCATAATATTATTAAATATATTTCTTTCTTTTATCGGGATGGGCGTTTTCTTCTTCGTCTCGCTTTATTTCTGTTTTTTTTTGCGGCAATAATGATTGATCAATGTATGTTTTTAATTCCTTCCATTGATTTTCTAGAAAAATGATCGCGTGATGTGGGTTACGCCTAATAATAAGTGCCTGGTTAGCGTTAGGTATAAAGTACATTCCTTTCGATAATTAATAGATATTCCAGTAAAACTTGTCTGTTATTTCCAAAATAATGCACTTTTTGCTGTATGCATTTATTTTCGTTCTGCGAAATTTCTTTACAGAAATTAATATTCTTAATTTAACAGAATTTTTCAATTCTGAAAAAAATAGATGAAAGTTGTGTAGTTTGTGAAACTGTGCCAACATTCCGCCATTGTCAAACTTGATGAAAGATATTGAAAATTAAATTGAAATCAAAATAGTAATAAACGATGTTTGTTAATTTGTGTGTGAAACTGCAGTTACACACAGTCAAGTAAAGAGAGATACCCTCGATATTTTCTAAACGAGAAAATTAACTGTTATCCTGCGATTAGATAATTACATATCGTATAAATCATCACCAAAAGTGCCTGCATCCTGCCAAGCGTAGATAAGAACGCTTCCTTTCGCTCGCGATTTTACGATACGGCGCTTCCAGCGGTAGGTGCAACGTGACACATTGATATTGTATGAATGACATACATGCATTACTCTGCCCAATTTCCATTTATATCTGGAAGAGAAAAAAAAAAGAAATATATAAATATATATATATATATATAGTATATTATATAGTAACATACATATCATATAAACCCATCTCTATACTTAATATTCATTCTGCAGATAAAATTTATTATTATTATATTTTACATGTAGTAAACTTTTATGTAAACTTTTAACCGATCCTTCATCTCGATTTTTTAAAGTACTTTACTCTTGTTAGTTTAGTCATTCGGTAGTTTAAGTATGAATTTTTCGCGACAAGGACTGAGCACCAAAATCTAATTTTATATATTTTGTGAGCACTAAAATCAGGAAATATTTCAAGGCCAGAACCGATCCTTTATCTCGATTTTTTAAAGTACTTTATTCTTATACCTATTCTGTCCTTGTTAGCTGATATCTTTTAAATTGTAATAGATAACTATATTTTGTTAATTGTTCTTAAAAGCACTTAAAAAGCACTTAATTCTGATATATTTACTTTTTGATTTTGTGCAAGTATTTAATAATGGGGGTGCTAGCTTCACGAAAGCTAGCACCTCCACTTTACAACGCGAATTCCAGCTAAATGGTTCGAGCACTAAAATTAGGAATACAGCACCAAATTAGCACCAAAATAGCACTTAATTTTGGCATATGTTTTATTTTAATTTATTGTGGTGGGGGTGCTAACTTAACGAGGGT